ATCTGGATCGTTAATCTTACACTGTTCTGGATTGGAGCTTGGTGTTGAGCATCGAGTTAGAGGCACTGATTTGTCTGGTTCATGTTGGACAGCTTTCACGGCTGCAGCCTGCTATACCATCTTTGTCAGCTTATCGCACTTCTGCGCCAACACAGTTATACATCTGACGAGTGGAAGAGAAGTACACTCAGCGCAGAACCAGAGAGAATCGGTCGTAGTATTAAGACCTTTTATCTGGCTGAGACTAAGGCTAACACATCGAGAATGGAAGTATTTTCGGCAGTTTCTGCATTCCATTCCAAATCGTACAAGTTTTACGTAGCTGTTTACGCCACAGCTAATGTTCATTTCAGAAGCCTTGGGCTTAGGTTTCCGTGGGCAAGCAGTACGTGCCATTGTGACTGTCAGATCTGCGGAAGTCGTTCATTGCAACGTCTGCACTTGTATACTGAATCCAAACGCCGTCGGTTAACCTAGTGGTCTGGCAGACAACTGTTCGATTGCTGTAGAACAAATTCAAGATAGCGGACACAGAAGGCAGTTGGGCCAATCAGTGATATCTCCGACAGTAGCCGAAGAATATCCACGAACTTCGCACAGATAAAGAATACACCAAAAGCAAAGTGTTGGTGCACGATTCACACAGAGCAAACACGTTTAACACAGTATTCTCAAAGCGAAAGTAGAACTCAGCACGGTAAAGCAAACATCCGCAGCGTCCGTGGGTACAGCCAAACAGGTCGAAAAGAAAGAAGAGAGTCGCGAGCAGTAGCGTTTTCGTTTATCCGCCCTGCTGTATGCAACAGATAAGACTACTCTTCACAAGCTGCGCGATGGCCAATACAGAAGGCGACTGTAGTTCGAAGCAATTGTCGTGGTTGTATTTGGGCTGAGATGCTGCCATGGTGCACAGACCTAGACATGAGGACGATTAAGGTCCTCAATCAAGGTCTTTGGATCAAAAGCCTATCTGCAAGGCGGTGGACATGGCAACGATTCAGTTTTAAATGACTGCACCTCATCCCATTTCAAACCCCCAACATGGAGGACCAAGAGACTGAGTTCCTTTGACCTCTAACCATTGACCAACGTGGTACGAGTAGCACTTAAAGGGCCCGGGTGCACCACCCATTATAGCTTACTGGGTAGAAAAGGTACGCAAACCGTGTACCACGTTAAGGTCCAGTCTCGTTATGACAGATGTGTCGTCTACAACTTCACTTTGCTTCACTTATTGGAACACCGCTACATTTATTGTCCACCCAGCGTAGTCTTGTTTCTCGACAGTAAAGGTGCAATCGATTCGGTGAATCAATGTGCCCTTTGAAATGACTGCTCAGGAAAGATGTGGTTGAGAAACAATCGAACAATTTCAGATTGCTTTACGCCCAAAGTTTTGGCGGTGTGTGTGTTCGTGGCAAACTGTCACCGTCGATTAATATCTCCAGCGGTGTGAGACAAGGTTGCCAGCCCACACCTTTCCCTTTTCGCCATTGATGAAGTCATGGAGACTACATTTATTGGACTCAAGTTGGATGTTGTGGAGCTACTCCCAGGTGATCGACTTCTTGACTTGGAGTATGCCGATGACACTGCCCATAACTTTGATTGCTCACGAAGGTGCCAAGTGGCACTGGACAGATTGACGCTGGCTGTCAGCCATTTCGATCTATACGTTGAACCCTGGAAAAGCAAAGTACTCCAAGATTTGCAGGGACGCACTCCTTCAACAATACTCTAATCAGTACACCATAGATGAGTGTGAGGAACACAACGCAGCTAATGTGCCGCACTACAAAAAGAGAAGGTGTCAAATATTATAGATGACAAACACTAAAAAGCAATATAAGCCATATGTCATATTACGCATCAGGTGTGAGATCGTGGTTGGAAGAGGAAACTCAAGTTGTATTGGAGGGACAAAGGAACCCACAACAATAACGTCATTAAAGTCCACTATTCGCCATGTCAACCAGTGTATCCAACCAAACCTGTTCATGGTTCTTTGGACTCCAGTTCGACAGGCGGAACTCACTAACCGACCCTTGGTAGTAGTCAGCAATTCCAGGATCTAGAGAATTGTTAGCGCTTGGGGAATAAAAGTGAGATCACGAACCATATAGTGAACGCTTCAGGAACTTTTGCAAATCTCCGCCACCTGTGACGCCAGTGTGACATCACACTTACTCAGAAGGGCAGAGTCTACAATGCAACCGTCCGTTCAGGCCTTCTGTTCGACTGCGAATTCGGGCCCATCAGATCAAAAGACATACAGAGGTTTGTTAAATTCGACCATCGCTACCTTCGCAGTTTAGCTCATCTGATGGTAGCATCGCGTAAACAATTAGCGTGTTCGGCATCGTGTATTTGGTGCAAGAAGAGCGAGTGAACAGCTCAGCACTATTACATCACCCACAAGGATCCAATGGCTGGGAAATGTGGATGGAAGAAAAGGAGGGTGGCCAAGCGACAACACGGTCAGGTGTGAAGTTCCTCGCTTCAGACTTGGCGTCGGTTGGCGCCTCCCGACTGCGGGCTGTGTTTCCGAAATGATGAACACATTTAGTTGGATGCGCTCCTTAACGTGGCGAAAAGTCAAATCAAGGCGTTTGCGTTGTGCGTTTCTTTGTCCTCCTCCTCCCGTTTAGCATGCTGTTCTATCACAGTATCACACTTCATACATAATATGGTACCATGGATTGCTTTTCATCTTATTGCTTATGGATATATCTTCTTTTTGTATTTCAGCATAATAACTGGTCTTTCTTATCTTCTGCTAATGTATTATGATGATGATTACCCACAAACTCCAACTTTTCACGTTGGATTTCTTAGCAAACCTTCTCCACTAGATGACATCTGGATTGGATGCGCAATGCAAGGCTGTGCGACTTATGTTGTTTAACAGTTCTAACGTTTCGTAGTGTCGATATGTCTGTCTTGCAGAAACAGCTGTCCTCGGATGGTGTGCAACCAGCAGTGTGCAGCCCGGTGAGCAACTATTTGGCAAATCGCTTTCATTTCAGCCAACTAAACGGTAAAAAATCTTCAAAAATTGGTGGTGACCATGGCGTTTTACAAGGAGCGATTCTGTCCTCAGTTCCACTCTCTTTATTCATCAAATGGCTTCAATTCTCCAACCTTACTGGTTATAAGTACACTTACGACGCAGTTCTATGCGGCATTACTCTCAATGCTGGGTCATCAATGGCTTACCGAGACGGGTTGCATGAGTTTCATTGATGAGTTTCATTCCGATCTTTGTCCTCAACACTTCCAAATGCCGCTATGTAACTTTCTCTCTCCTTCGTACGGATAAGCTTTCCAGCTTGACAAATATTTCACGCCCCAAGTTCATGAGCGTCCACATCATACCCGGCTCATCTAATGTTGAGTACCTTGGTGTAGTTTTATAATATAGTCCACCATGGGTAACACACTTTGGCGAAATTTTCCGTTAGGTTAGAAGCTCCTCATTCTATACCCTGAGACTCAAAATACATTCAGTGTCTAGCTCATTAGTTCATCACTTCGTGACTTCCTGAATTCTTCCTCACTGGCTCTAGTGCCCCCCTACCACTTTTCCTGGCCCTATACAAAGAAACTTCACACTGATTATGCGTTCCGTTAAACTCATCCCCAGGTGAAGTGGATTGCTTAGAGAGTCTCCTGTTAACATTATCGTTACTAAGAGTTTTGGGGCATGCGACAAGCTTGCATTAAATGATTTTTCAAAAGTTCTTCCCTTTCCGTCTACTCGCTCCAAATGAAGGGTTTTCTTTGCTCGCACATCTCTAACCATTTTTACTGTATTGATCCTGTTTTCGTATAGAGTCAAAGAAATTCATCAATACCACGCGTGCAACTTTACTTGAGTGACGTACATGTATATTGTTCACATTTTTATATTGTTTGTAACCTTAAATCAAGTTAATGCCTCATTACATCCGCGGTGCTAGTGCAAAATACTGAAAATGTTTCCAGTCGGAAGCACAAGGCTTATTTTGACTTGATTTGAACCCACAAAACCTTTTTTACATTCGGTACTTCTCTCTCACATCCTTTCCTATTGCTGAAAGGCAGTCACTGGTCGTGTAACCGGCTTTCCACTACTCTCACATATTCCGAAAGGACCACCATAAATTTTCTGAAACCCCGTAGGTCCTGCTTGTTTTAATTTCTTGATAATAAATGAACAACGGTAAGTTTACAAAATGAGACTGTTGTTACAATTGCCCTATACACAGAATATTTGATCATCGACACCTGCTGCTGATGCCACAACAAAATGAGGTGTAGTACCCAGTAAAATCCTCTCCTTACAATCTTTGGAATTGTTATAAAGGGGCATGAAGTAGGGTTTGCTGATGATATGCTGAATAGGCTTGTAGATGTCGCACGTGCAATACTGCGATTCCTCTAATTTGTGGCTTTTCTAGGCCCATCAGAAACTAGCAGTTGTTTAAATTTACTTGTTCGACCTTTCGGTTTAATACTTGTTCTAGTGCTGTAGATATCCTCTTCATCTCCAAAGGTTCACTTTCCCAAAGTAAACGTGGTGAAAACCTCCGAGGTGACACGTTGGAATACTGCGGCTTAACCTTCAGTACGATATTAATATTAGATTTTAGTTGCCTTATCTCAGTTTTGTATTCATGCCGGATAATATCCAATTCGGCTGCTCTGCGTCGCAAGGAATGCGTAATTTAAATGAGTCTGGAAGCCGTTTAGCGTTCATCCATGTATATAACGGCCACCTAAATAGAGGTAGTTATGGATATAAATAGACTAAAATGGTTACTTCCCCTGCCTCTTCAGCTTGATTGTATTTCCTCAGTAATAACGCTGATACAATTATGTTTGTCGCAGTGTTTAGACTTGTCGGACTGTTGCAGTAAGGATCCGAGTTTAAAACGGAACGAATATTTCCCATCAGCAACCGTCACACCACAAGATCAAGGGATAAGTCAAACTAATATTGCATTTCCTTTCCACCACAGGTTTTATTCGAACTCGCCAGGTTCCACGCCCCATCCACGATTTTTCTTGACGAGTTGGATTCACTAATGTCCCAAAGGGGATCTATTGCTGGGTGTGGTACAACAAGCGGATCCAGTGGTCTTCCAGTTGGGGGTAATGAGCATGAAGGCTCGCGACGTATGAAAACCGAACTACTCATGCAAATGGACGGTTTGGCAAAATCAGACGATCTTGTATTTTTACTAGCAGCGTCAAACTTACCATGGTATGCTTAGCCATATAAAGGTGCATATATTGCTTTGACATTGTCTGAGATTGTCCATTGTCCATCACTGACTATGGTGTCCTGCTAGCTTCAGCTGCTTGTATATGTATAAAACAAGTTGCATACACTTGGTTTTTTAGACAGTGTTTAGATGTACTCTAGAGGTATGGAAACTGTGTGGTAGAGGGTCATTGTAAAGTCGAGCTGGCGAATGCCTTCAGTGATAGCCCATCCGAAATTACGTTGATGACACTAGTGTTTCATTCAACGAGTAACTTTAAAAGTGCGGAAAACTGGATACAGTCACTGCTATAATCTCGACAACAAATTTATCAGGTGGAAGCTGCTTGCATACCGTAATGGTTTCTTCCAAAGGCAAACAGTTTCAAGTTCTCACCTTTGCAAGTACAACCGACATGATATACAGCGAACCGGGATGCTGTGTGTTTCATCAGCTTTCTTAGCAAGGATCTATCCTCAGTCATGGTTAAGATGCTGCCAGTGTGTACACACATTTTCTCACTTCGGCAAGATAATATTCGCTTAGAAGATTCAAGCAACGCGTACCTCCGGGGGGTAATCAACAACGAAGCCGGAAGTGTATAACGCTACTAGGTACAGAAGTATACTTGGGCATTAACAATATATACCTCAGCGCTCTCAACTCAAAGCAACTACAATTGAAAACCCTTGGGTCCGAGAACCAACAGGCTAAGCTTCAGAGCGACTGGGACACGAAATGATGGCACCACAATGCAAGACGTATGTGTGGGCAGGTGATTTGTTGGTCAGACGAATGGAATGAGGGCTAGCTGAGCACCAAAGTGGAATGAGGTCAACATGAAGATAAAGGGGCAAACAGAAACTTTTAACTGATGGGAACATTCGGTCAACAGACAATAGTCGATGCGGAATATATATACATATATATATATATATATATATATATATATATATATATATATATATATATATATATATATATATATATATGCAACAGCCTACGAATAGGCATGGAGCCATTAAAAACCATGGGACTCAAAGTAAGATACAGCTATCTTCAAAAAACACAACACGGAATATTTCGTGCTTTGGTTAGAGGGCGAGGTACTACCCGGTTGTCCAAGCCGAAGTGTAGGGTGTTGACTTAGAGGACACCACCCCGAGCCTTTGACCAAATGGCCCACCCGCAAGGCAGCGGAGCGAATTCAGGAAATCGCGTCCATTGGGAGCCGCTGACTGATTGCTCAGCTCATAAGCCTTTCGTCTGTTCCTTTGTCAAACAGGGGCCTAATACTCCCCAGAATAACAGCACAAAGTTGCTGGAATACAATGCTTCGGCAGTATGAAGCAAGGGACAGTGACTTTACCTAGTGGCGAGTCACATCCGCCATCTCACAGTGTTGATAAACGGACATATGTGGCTTTTTATAGGGAGATTGCTTGCCAGGTGAAAAAGCACTACTTCCTGGTACACTGCCGCCGAACAATTTGCTGTAACGGGATAATCCCGAACCACCCAGCTGGCACCACGAATTGGTTGTTCGGCAAGCCAACCACTCGGAACAAAGGTATAGGCGCAACTGGGGGGGGGGTCATGGAAAGGCGAAGTGAACTGTACACGCAGTTCATAGGCAAATACAAGCAACTGAAACCACTTAAATGTGAAATGGATGGAGCCACAGTTGGAAGATTTGGATTGATGCTTGTAAACACAGGACAGGGTTGACATGTTTGAACAGAATATAAACATTGAAGAAATCTGCAGACGCCGCAATCTTTTGTCCTTTGCAAGTAATTCATTCCCATTTCATCCCTATTCACCCAGGGAATTAGATCACGCTATGTTACGGCGATTGGAGAAACGAATTCTCGTGGATCTTCCTAATAAACAGGCGCGCAGGCGAATGTTTGAAACGTTTCTTCCACCTGTCCCTTCCTCGAATACACCAGGCTTTATCCAACTTGTCTGCCACATTGATTACGATCAGGCAGCTGAAGTAAGTCGGATTCATTACGTTACCTTTTACACGTCATAGCTAATAAATAACTGTACTACTCAGCGTGATTTTGAATACCGTTATCTGAATGTGTACGAGTTTCATGTATTTGAATTTCAATACTGTGATAATTCTTTTTGGGTTAGGTGACACTTATAATTTACCTTCGGTAGGTCTTTTTTCAAGATTAGCGTTGGAGGCTGAACTGCACACATATTCCCTCCCCAGTTTAACATACTCGATCTAATTGTCTGGCGTCCTCAGTCGAACGTGAGATCACGCTGTTGAAATTGCATAAGGCCGCAGGAGCAGATACAATTCCTCCAGCCCTCTTCAACTTCGGTGGACCTGCTCTAGTAGATGATCTACACGAGTTGCTAGTAAAACTTTGGGAGCAGGAGACAGTCCCGACAGACTGGAACCGCTCCGGCATTGTCCCAATTTTCAAGGGAGGCGCCCGTTTAGAATGTGGCAATCATAGAGGGATCAGTCTGCTTTCGATTGCCTCTAAATTGCTTGCCTCTCTCATTCTCCACAGACTGACTGGCACTCGTGAAAGCCAGATTTGTGAAGAGCAAGCCGGATTTCGTCGAGGTCGGGGCTGCATCGACCACAACTTCACATTGCGTCAAGTGTTGGAGCACCGCCATGTTTATTGGCGACCCACCGTTGTCGTGTTTCTTGACATAAAAGGTGCCTTCGACTCAGTCGATCGATATGCCCTTTGGAACTGTCTGCTGAGGAAAGGTGTGCCTGATAAATATGTAAACATTATCAAAGCGTTGTACGCACATAGTTCGGGCAGGGTGAGGGTTTATGGCAAACTGTCGCCGGCGTTCAGCATCACCAGCGGTGTGAGACAAGGATGCCCGCTGTCACCTTTCCTCTTCAACTTCGCTATTGATGAAGTCATGGAAACAGCGTTCGCTGGACACGACCTAGAAGGTGTGGAGCTACTCCCTGGTGAGCGACTTCTTGACTTGGAGTATGCAGACGATATTGCCCTAATCTGTGACAGCTCCCAAACAAGCCAAACAGCACTGAACCGATTAGCACTGGCTGTCAATCGTTTTGGGCTATGGTTTGCCCATTGAAATGCAAAGTACTTCTCCAAGATTGGCAGGGACCCAACCCTACGCTAACGCTTGGTGGTGATCTGCTAGAAGTCGTTCAGGAATTCAAGTATCTGGGCAGCTATATTAGCACCCATGGGATTAAAGATGAGGTTACGAACCGTATAGCAAAAGCTCGAGGTGCTTTTGCAAATCTCCGCCACCTGTGACGCAGACACGACATTACTCTCGCCCTCAAGGGCAGAGTTTACAACGCAGCCGTCCGTTCAACTCTCCTATATGGCTGTGAAACCTGGCCCATCAGGTCGACAGACATGAAGAGACTCGTCACGTTCGATCATCGCTGCCTTCGCAGCTTAGCTCATGTCTGGTGGGAACACCGCGTGAGCAATGAGCGTGTTCGGCGTCGCGTATTTGGTGCAGGAAGAGCGAGTGAACCGCTCAGCACGATTATATCACGCACCAGACTCCGATGGCTGGGCCACGTGTTGCGCATGCCAGCACACCGACTCCCACGACGTGTATTGTTTGCGCGTTATGGGTGCGGTTGGAAGAGGAGGAGGGGAGGCCAAGTGATCACTTGGTCGAGAGGAATGAAAACCCTCACTTCGAAGTTGGCGTCGGTTGGTGCATCCCGATTGCCTGGCTGGGGTCCTAAAGACGGTGAACACGTTTGGTTGGACACACTTGCTGATATGGCTAGGAGCCGGCCCCAATGGCGTTTGTGTTGTGAGTTCCTTTGTCCATCCCCCTCCTGTTTAGCATCCCCCTCCAATCACGATCTCAATCGTTAGGCATAATATGACTTTCTTTTACGGCAGCCAGCTGTTAGCTCTCCGGAACGATGTCCATCCGTTACTAGGGACTCAGTGGGCGTGACACTGTTTGTTTGTTTGTTTTCTTTTCTTGCCTTTTGTATTGCGGCACAATAGCTGAGGTGTTTTCCACCTCCAGCTAACGTGTAATGATGATGATGATGTCTGGCGTCCCCACTGTTAGCCTGGACGGCGCATAACATCACGGAGGTGTACCAAGTTACTAACGCGGTCTGTTCTCGTAAACCTAAGAAACAAGACTTCCATCTGTAGGGAGAGTGAACTTACGGTGGCTAAGGATTCATATTGAAATTTATTTTGACTTTTAGGACGTACGCAATGAATGCCCGTATAAATTTGTTAAGTATTAGATTGATTGTGCTTAGCTGTGGTGGTAAAAGTTCAAACATGGTGGTCGATATATTTCCAGTAGGTATACCACCAAAAAAACGATGACTGTTAGGGAATATATGAATTGACATCAGGAAACAGCATGATCACGACGCAAGGGAAATATGAGATATACCAATTTGCTTGTCTCTTAGCTGTTGAAATGAGGCAAGGTTAACTAAAATAAAGGACGTCTCACTTGTAACACTAAGTCAACAGGACATACAAGATCGGGTATCAGCGGCGTTGCTTGGGCAGTCCCCAAGATGAGTTGTGTTTGTGTGGAATATACGAAACAAGCACTAAAATTAATGGTTTCGTTTTCAGCCACACCACGAATACTGCTCAACTTCAAACGTATCATTCCAATGGCCGGTAGCATAATTGTTTCTCTCGTACTGGGTCATAAACTAAGTGTTTACGACAAGTCAACTTGGCTCCAATGGCAGACGAAGCACCGATTAACTTGATCCGATTTGCAAAGTTATCCTGAGTATTCAAACGATGGTAGCAACACCAAACTGATAAGTGCGAATTGGATTACGGTGTTAAAGTTTAAACACATGCACATACTTTGGAACGGTTTCAATTATTCTTAGGTACTTTCATTGAGATGACTGAATTGGCTATGTTTATCCTTTTATCCGAGATTCCTCTCTTCTCATAGTAGCCGATATGGTAACTAAAAGCTTTATTTGGAAAGTAAAATCGCCCTAAATTCCTCCCCCCCTGTTGGTTGCACGGAAATAAATGGGGACAACTTTTGTCGGTGTCCAGTAGTACAGATGAAGCATGTAAAGACAAGGCGTAATAAGATTTCTCTTATTGATTCCGGTTTTCAGAATGCGCTCATAGCACCGGTATTGTACTGGGTTGCTTTTTGTCACCTTTGCTTTTCAGCTAACGGAGGGTTATTCGGGTTCTGATATACGTCTTGTATGCAAGGAGGCTGCGATGAGCGTAGTTCGGAAAATATTCGATATCCTCGAGAGCAACACAGACAAATGTAAGTTGACAAAGAAATGCTCAAATGAAGACGCTGAATGAAACCTTCAATGCAATCGGAGCAAATAACTGAAAGTAATCTGCATTCGATTTCGGTTATAGGAGCCGCTGTTGTCATCTAGCTTAGTTATCCCGTTAAAAGAAGTATGAATTAGAAAGCGAGTTGTACAGCCTTAGCCGTGTTTTTCTTCCATCATTCTTAAAACAGCCTTCGATTGGTCCTTACGGATTCTATCATTGTGAACCTAAAAGCAATAAAAAGTTTGTAATACGTAGTAAGTTGGTCTTTCAGTCCTAGCATGCATGATTCCGCTTTGTGCAGCTATGTTGACCATCTCTGGTTACATGAGTTTGTGTATGTCAGCTGTGACGCTGAAAAAATTACCGATTGGGGAAAAAAGCTATGTCCCCCATCCATGCGAAAAACCAGCCGACTGTTGAAACGAACTGCACAAACACGTCCCTCCTCAAAAGTAACGCGTTTCTTCCCACCTGTTGTTGCATACTTATATCTCCTCCATTCTCCCACAACCACTGCATGCCGTCCCACATGCTCCTTACAGCGTTCTTCTTACAAACGTGTACATCATATGTTTAATTTTTCTTATCGCAGTGGACATGTTTAGGATGTATGCGTCAGGGGGTATATTAACTGCACTTTGTAACCACCAACATGGTGGAGTCTATTCCACTTAATCAAATGCACAAATAAGCAGTTAAATCAGTGATTGCTGTCACCGGATTCACAGCAGTTTTAATGAAGATACATGCAGTGAGCGAGTGCTGTCCTCAGAATTTGTAGCAGTTCTCAATCTATGGAAAGGGCTGAAACTTCATTATCATATATGTTCCGATTATTACAGCGATACATAATTTACTTGCTTTTATGCAACGCTTCACACGTGTCCTATTTATTAAAGCCCAGCTTCAGAAACACATCAGATTGGACCCCATCACGACTGAAGATGTGGAAGCTGCTATCCGTTCGACCATGCCATCGGCTCGACAGCTAGTTGAAAAATACCAGGAGTGGCAACGCAGCTATGGTTCATCATGATGTCGTACGCAACGCCCAGTTATCCCGACTGACATATATTTTGCTCTGTACTTAACCTTTTTCGTGGTGTATTTATCACCTTCAGATGAGAAGATACGAGGAAAACAGCATATGTGCATCTTTACTTGACTTTATCTCAGCTTCAACAAAAGCTTTTTAATTGTCCTCCTTTAGCGTCCAAAAATCACTCCCTTTTCCTGCGGTTCGGCCTCGAATACTTTTCTGGGGAACGCCGAGAAGTTCATGTCGTGTACGTCGAAATCATTTGAGATTAAAACGTGGCTGTTGTCTGGAATTAGGCCTTTCTCAAGTCCGATATCAGGCAGGAATCCATCGCTGGATTAAGACATGGGGGCAATAAACGACATCCACGAAGCAGTTGTCGTCATACCTGAGGGAAAGCTAACTTCTCCTAACAGCCAAGTGAACGCTCCATGTAGTTTTGGTAGGTAGCTATTATGCCCCAAAAGGTTTGAATTGTATCGTTCGGTTCCAGAAGAAGAGGCGAGTAGTTCAATCTATCCTTGTTACCGAACTCAGTCCTTCTGAAGTAAACGTTTATTCGGCAAAGTCAACTTAGCGTAAAGCATTGCATATTTGGTAAGTCAAACTCCTCGATATAAATTGTCCTTTGACTTCCATAGCTAACAACCCATGAGTCGATTAGGTTCCGTCCTTCACAAACGATGAGTAACCGATGCGAACGGCGGCCAATATGGGTCCAGTGATCGAATCCGTTATCTCCGTCTCCTATTGGCTGCGTGCTTCGCTCGTTTGATCCATCCTTTCACTCTAGTAGAACACTCCTAGCACACCGAGAAGTCCAGAACGTATACGTTGAAATCACCTTCGAAAAGAACTTGGCTTTGTCCAGGCCGATATTTGGCGGGAATCCATTACTGGAGTGGTCAGTGGGGATGACAAACAGTTACCACGAGGCAATTGTCATCGTATCTGCGGTGCAAATAGCACTATATTGAATCGGTGACCCGCATCTTCGGATGGTTTGCTGGTTTTCATTTTAAGTCGTTTCGATAAATCAGAATCATGCAGCCTGCTTGGTGCTATTCATATCCTAGCCGTAAGAGGTGACACGTAAGGGGCGCGCCAAGTACGAGAATACAGAGAAAGTTAAGAGCTGCTTGACCCAACGTATAGTAAGAAGAGCTATAAGGAGTGGAGAGCAGGTAAGCAAGAGCAGATGGCAGTGTAACAGCGTGACCCACCGGAGAAGAGCAAGTAAACGGATGTGCAATCAGTAAAACAAGTAGAAAATCGGAAGTTACAGAGTACAATAGGAAAACAATGTCGCGAAATTTTGTAGGTGTAAATGGTTCATATTCATTACACCCATCAGTGTGTCTGCAGTGCTAGCTATCATGACCTAGGCGAGCACAGGAAGGATCGTTACAAAACAGAGTCTATAGGAGACTATCTAGCAAAGGACAAGATGTAGATTGGTAAGAAATAAAAATATAGGGAAACAGCTTATATTCAAACAAGAGCAAAGCCAAAAATTGGAGTCACCAATTAAAATAAGGGACAGATACGGTCTTACGCTAATTGTCAAAGCGAAAAATTTGCATCAGAGTAACCATAGAAAGTCGTAAAATAACACTTACAAGGTCATATTTCCAAATAGGGGAAGGAGCTTACCAAAAGCAAATTTCGCTGTTATCGGAGCTGTGTTAGCAGTCGGGATCACCAAGTGTTGTATGCCACTCAGATACTAGTCCTAAATTTTCACGTGAGGCGTATCAACTACGAGGATACGGAGAACATTAAGTGCGGCTGGACGCAACGTATATTGTGAAGAAATACACAGCGTGGATTACAGGTGAGCAAGAGCTGTGTAGCAGCGCGACTCACCGAAGAAGATCAAGGGAACGGAACACACAAGCAGTAAAATAATAGACGATCAGAACTTACAAGGTACCATAAAATCTAATATTGCGCAATAGTGAAATAAGAGTGTTTCAAGTTCACTTCAAACCACAGCTATTGTGTTTTGTAAGAGTGAAATTCCATGAATCGCAACCTTAGCATCCTTGACCTACGAGAGCAGCCAGCTCTTGGTTACTGAAGTGAGTTCCCAAGCGCTTGTTGAGAAAGGTACTGGGTAGACTTTGGACACTGGTGCACATGCAGTAAAATTCGTCCCCAGCAGCGCATCGAAAGCAATGTGGTGCGGTTGAGAGATTGTACCCACTGTTGTAGAAAATCTGATAGATAGAAACCATATAGATAGAAAACCAGCCGTTTTGCTTTTGTTTGCTTCGAGGAACTCCTGCTTAACTTCTCTAACAACCCATTTGAGGCATGTATTGGGTGGAACTACAAGACTGTGCGGTTTAAATGGGGCTCCCGCTTCATTTGTGTGCTGAAATAGTGCTTCAGTTTGGGTGATTACTTCTGTAGGGGCGCGGATCTCAGTTCACACGGAAATGCCCCGGAAGCAGCAGGAGATCGGGACTAACGCGGAGACTGGGAACTGGAATCGTCAACCCAGCTCGTGGCCTACGATGCAAGCCGGGAATGGGTCGTCAGCGACAAACGATACCGAGGCCACGCCGAGAAGAACAAGAGGCGACATAAAAGGGAGCCCGATTTTCCCAAGAGCTATGCTTTTATCTACGGCCCCAGGAATTGGCCCGATCAGAGCAACACAGCCCCGAGCAAGCAAGTCGAGAGCTTTGGTACGAATCCAGTCTGGATAGGCTGCGACGCAAGGGAGCAGAAATGTGGGCGGAAAACGGCACATGCAATGTGCACGTCAGATCAGCCTAATGGCGCATGGTGGACACCACTTCACTCGGCGGAACATGGTGCGTCGTGAGTGGGAAGCGCGACTATATTTGTGTGTGTGCGTGGGACATGTGTGTGAACCTCTCCGCGTGCAATAAACAGCGTTCTCCCCTACCGTGTCGTTCTCGCTACATTTCGTTTGCGGTCTTCAGCCACAGCTTCGTCGGTAGTCTGTTCCAGCTTCATAATCACTTAGATAGTAACTACCTGGTTTGATGCATTGAGTTCCTTAACTGGATCACACTGTTTGCAGATATACCGTTTTCCAAGAGCATGGTCTCAAGCATGTCGCCCTGTTGCTCTTAGTCGGCAATCACCATTTCTTATCTCTCACACACATTCGCCGGCAAGACGCGGTGAACAAAAATAAATCTAGCTACCATGTCAAGGCGGTACACTCGCATGGATTTCTTCGTTCGCTCCATGAATCGTTTAGAAATAACTAGACAAAAGCGTATCCGTTTCAGAGACGAGCTGTTGAAAGCAAGGACAGATTGTAGCACAACCCAACGAACACTTGCTTCACCACAATTCCTGGAATTCGGATGACGGGTGATACTAGTCAGTCTAATGGGTTTAGTTGAAACGTCGACTAGGTTGCTCATAATGTCCAGTAGCTCAGGGCAAAGACCTACTTTCCTTTCAGTGAAATTTCCTCCGATTCCGGAACACCGACATATAGTATGGACAGGACATCCAGCTCTTTCTGAGTGTCTTCCTGAATAGTATTAGCCGTCGAGTGGACATCCGACGATCTATTTCATGCCAGTGCAGCGACGTTTCCCACACTAACTCTGGATGTGGAAGCAGAAACTGCAGCTGTTTATTTTTGAGCGTTCTTGGAGCAACCACATCCCAGCTGCCACTGAAATTAGCTTCCTTCCTGAGTTTCGGCGTAGTTTGGCTGGAGGCGATGGACTTAGGGAGAATTATGACAAATGTGCATGATGTGACAATTTCGGGAACAGTTGGGCGGCCTGGAGTAGTTGCAAAGTGATTGCTTACCAAGTTTACAGGTGTCATCATACTAGTGGAACAATCGGCCGTGTGTATCGCGGACTTGGAGTGAGGTTCCGTGAAGGGGTATGGGTATTGCATTTAGTTAACTTGTTCCTATCGAAGCGAGCTTTGTTTTCAACAGTTGCTAGACCATTACTGTATGATTTTCGTACTTTGACAATGAAATATCTATATTAACTAATGGGATGGCCGTACAAATCCCGTGGAACTAAAGAGAAGCTGGACAACCGTTAAGAAGCAGCACCTAGTTTATTGTGGGTTCCAACATTTGGGGTGAAAAGAGTTCAGTCTTGTTGATGAAGACTGCGCCTATTTAAGCGTGTTTCGGGCATTTCAAGAGTGAGAAATGTATTTAATTATTTAGATACTGATAACTGAAAAACAAAAGCATTGTTTCATAGTATGCATCCAGAGTAAGATAGTCACTGGAGGAGGCCAAACGGGAGGGAGACAATGCAACTCACAATGCAAACGCCAATGAGTTTACTTTTGACACGTCAAATAGTCTATCTTACCAGGATATAATCAGTGTTTTTTGGAACCCAGCTCGGTACTCGGGAGATCACAAACTAAGTTAAAGCTGAGCACTTCCTTTCCCAGATTATCGGTCAATCTTCCCTCCTTTTCACTTCTTCGGACTGCGGTCGTGCAAAATATTCACGCTGCGGGAATCGGTGTTCTAGCATGTGCAAGCAATAACCCATAGAACAGAGCCACATAGTTGAATAACGGTGTTGAGCGGTTCACACGTTCTTTCTGCACCAAATACACAAAACCGAACACGCTCATTGCTTACGCGGTGTTCTCATCAGACATGCGCTAAACTGCGAACGTTGCGATGGTCAAACGTAACAAGCCCATTTATATCTGTCGAGCTGATGGGCTAGGAATTGCACTCGTACAGGAGGGTTGAATGGACAGCTGCTTGTATACATTACACCACAAAGCGAGGGAATGTCACACCAGCGCCACAAGTAGCGGTGATTGGTAAAAGCGCCTCGGGTTAATTTCCAAACCCACAGATGCTGATGTAGCCGTCTAAGTAGTTGAATTCATAGACGATTTCAGGCTGATCTTAACTAAGCGTCATCGCGGGAGTTGCCCTCGGAGAGTTGCCCTTGGAGAGGGACTTGGCAGCTCGAGGGTGTAAAGCGTAGCCGGAAAGAATTGATAGCCAGTTCTAATCTGCCCAGTGCAGCTTGGCACTTCTGTTAGATGCCACAGATGTTAGCAAACTCGTTGGTATACTTAAAGCTGTATGCGATCAGTGGAAGAATCTTTACACCTTCTGCATCAGGTCTGGAAAACCTAGTCTTCTTTACATCGTCAATAGCGAAGTTGAAAATGAAAGGTGACAGCGGACATCCTTTTCTCACACCTCTGGATGCATTTAAGTGCGGCAACAATTTGCCATAAGCCCGCACTCTGCCCAAAATACTCGTGTACAACACTTATGACATCTGCATAT